CACTTTCCTCCCTCGCTCGCCGCCGAAACGGGCCTGACGTGAGATGACATACCGACCTTACGCAGCAGCTTACCCGGGCTGCCAGCGCGGCATGCTGTATTGGAAACGAGGGCGCTTACGCGCGACCTTGCGCGGGCACGCGCCAATGTCGGTGAGAACGACCCCGTGTTTTCGCCAAAAGAGAGGCCTCATCAGGCCTGAGCAGCGCGCGGCCAAGAGAAGCCCCCAGAGCAGCCCATGAGGGCTTCATTACGGCCCACAGGCGGCCCAGGAGGCCACCAAGAAGGCCTCCGAGACCGACGGCAGGCTCATAAGAGCCCTCCAGGCCACCCCTGACGGGCCCAACAACAGACCCTTCAGAAGCTCCCAAGAGGCGGCAGCAGGTGATGAGGATCTACAGCGGGCTGGGCTTTTCGAGTCGCAGGGGATGCGCCGCCGGCAACGCTCGCCACGCTCGGGGCGGCAACCGCCCCGCGGAGCATGCGGTGCGCTTCGGTGGTGGAACCGCACCGCGCGTGTGGCCGCGAGCGCGTGCATGCAAGACACTCACGTCGATTGCGCTTCGCAGACCCCCAAACAACGAATGAGGACGCAGTCCCCGCACATGCGAAGGGCACTGTGGGATGGAGAAGAGCTGTCTTCGGATGGCCATCCTCCCGTCCAGGGAGGAGGATGAGGCGCAGGAGGGATGAGCAGGAGGGTGGGGGGGAGGAGGCAGAGGGGGCGCAGCAGACGCGTTCTTGCGCGAGCGTCAGCCTGTCCCGAGTCACTGTGAGGGGTGCTGAACAGATCATTCAAAGAGATGCCACCCTGCAAATTGTGGAGCAGCTCGAGCGCGTGCTGCACTCGCCACGTCTTCTCACACGCGCGGATGCCAACGCCGTAGCATGCGGCATCTGGCTGCAGCCCTGCTGCACGCAAGTCGCCCAGCAATGTGAGGGCCTGCTGAGATCGGCCGTTCTGCTCGCACGCTGCCATCCCAAGTTCGCAGCCAATGACCGTAAGCCCCAACCCTGCCTCGCTCGGCATGCGTAACAAGGCTATGACCTGCTGCCATTGGCCACTGTTCTCGCATGCGGCGAGGGCGGCGCTGTGACATATGGCGCACGGCTCCAATTTCGATTCCAAGAACTCGCTGAACAATGACAACGCGAACTGCCACTGCCCACCCTTCCCACACGCGCTGACCACGGCGCTATAGGTGATGGCGTCCGGCTCCCATCGCGCCCTGAGCAGCTCAGCAAACAGCGATAACGCCCGCTGCCACTGCTTCCCCTTCTCGCACGCGCTGATTCCGGCACTGAAGCTGACGACGTTTGGCTCCAGGCGGGCTTCCCGCATATCTTTGAACAGCGACAGCGCCCGCTGCCACTGCTCGCCCCTCGCACACGTGCTGACTGCAGCGCTGCAGCTGATGACATCCGGATCTAGGCTCGCCCTCCTGCATTCACCGATCAACCACAAGCCCTGCTGCCACTGCCCCGCCCTCTCGCACGCGCTGATAGAAGCACTGTAGCAAATCAGGCTCGATTCTAAGCTCGCTTCTCGCAGCTTGCCCAGAGACGCCAAAGCTAGCTGCCACTGTCCACCTTTTGCACACGCGCTAATCAAGGCACTGTAGCAAATCACGTCCAGCTCTAAGGTTGAATGCCACATGACTCGCAACAGCGCCAATGCCTGTTGCCATTGGCCATCTTTCTCACACGCGCTGATTCCAGCGCTGTAGCTGACGGCGTCTGGCTCTAGCGTTGCCTCCCACAGCGTGCTAAGCAAGACCAGCGCCTGCTGCCATCGCCCACCCTTTTCACAAGCGCTGATTGCAGCACTGTGACATATGATGCTAGGCTCTAGCCTGGACACTGTCAGCTCCATCAACAACGCCAGTGACTGCTTCCACTGCACACCTTTCGCGCACGCGCTTATCGCAGCACCATAGCTGATGACGCTCGGCTCAACGAGTGCCTCCCGCATGTGTCCGAACAGCGCCAGCGCCTGCTGCCACTGCCCGCCCCTCTCGCACGCGCTGACCCCGGCGCTGTAGCTGACTAGGGCTGACCTGTGGACTCCGTCCACGACATCTTTCTGGAATGGTTCTCGGAGGAACAATGGAGATTTGCGGAAAACCTATAAGCACGGCGGCGGCCGGGTTGGCGGCAGCGAGACCGCGCCTACGTGTCCGAGCTCTAGCAACGCTCCAGCAGGTTGGCCGTCGCGGGGCCGCCGTCGTCGCCGTTGTTGTCGTCGCCGCCGCGAGGCCGCCGTCGTATCTGTCGTAGACGGCGTCGTTGTCGTGGTGGTGGTTGTCGTCGTCGTGGGTTGTGGACACCGGAAGAAGGCTGGCGAAGTCGGTAGGACTGACCCATGGACTCCGTCCAAAAGGCCCACAGGAAGGCTGCAGAAGCGAGACACGTCAGGGCCGCAAGAGGCCCGGGAGAAGGCTCGTGAACGACCAACAGTAAGATGGATTTGGGGCCAAATCTGGCAGGGAGCGCCGAGCAAGCGTCAGGAAGGCCGAATAGCCCCATGCGGAGCTGTCAGAATCGGTGCCTGCCCTCCTCCCTGTCGAAGCGCACCAGTGTTGTCTGCTGCGTCCAGCCGTGGCGGCGAAGAGCCCTCCTAAAGGTGAACTGTCTGTGTGTGAACTCGGCCTCCGCCGATTTCGTCTGGCCCGAGCCTGGGCAAAGGCTGGCATCCTCTCTGCGTCCATCGCCTGGGCCGCCTCTCGGAACACGCCCAGATCCTGTGCCACCCAAACACCTCGCGGCGCTGCGCCGCGCGAGGCCCGGTAACCTTCGCGCCCTTGTGCCGGCACCCTCGGAGACGGGCAACGCTCCGTATGCAACCACGAGCCGTGTGAGGGGTGCGCCGAGCTGGAGGGTAGAACCGCTGGCCGCCTTTCTCTGACACAACATTGGTTTCTCCTCCACCCTCCATCTCCGCAGAAACGAAACCCAGAACCCCAGAGTAAGCGCCGAAGCGCAGGTTTGCGAAAGACGTCTCGCCAGAACCCTGAAGCCCACCTGGGACCTCGGAGAATAAACCTCGAGCGTGGTGCTTATTTTCCGTCGACGTGGCGGGCCGAGGGATGGTCTTGGGGGGCGTTTTCTCGGCCGATCGCGGGACCCTGGAGAATGGCATCCGAGGTTACGGAGTCGTTTTCGTGGGCGTCGTTGATCCACGAACGATCCGTGCGAGACGTCTGTGCCACATCAGGAGCCTGGGGGTAAACCTTCAGAGTTGATACTGGCATTCTTCCGAGCCGACGAACGTCCTGGGCGAGGATTAATTGCTCCAACCCAGGGTGTCGGATAATAAACCTCCAAGTCTGGGTTCATTTTCCGTGGGTTTGGCCGCGCCCCAGGTAATGCATTGGGAGGGTAGAGACGAAACACCGCAGAAACGAAATCAAGAACTCCAGAGTAAGCGCCAAGACGCAGGTTGAGGAAAGACGTCTCGCCAGAACCCTGGAGCCCACCTGGGACCTAGGAGAATAAACCTCGAGCGTGGTGCTTATTTTCCGTCGACGTGGCGGGCCGAGGAGTGGTCGGTCTTGGGTTTTTTGGGGGGTCGACCGCGGGACCACGGAGAATGGCCTCCGAGGTTACGGAGTCTTCTTCGTGGGCGTCATTGATCCACGAACGATCTGGGGGACATGTCTGTGCCCCATCTGGAGCCTGGGGGAAAGACTTCGAAAGAGGTACTGGCATTCCGTGGACGTGGCGAATCGACGAACGTCCTGGGAGAGGGTTGATTGCTCCGCCCCAGAGTGTCGGAAAGTAAACCTTGAAATCGGGGTTTACTTTCCGTGGGTGTGGCCGCGCAAGCCGCGCTCCAGAGAGTCCGAAGACGGGCCAAGTGTAGCTGGAAGAGGGCGCCCTTGGAAACCTGTGGGGATGTGTAAAGCCGTTGTGGGCGCGTCTTGGGCACTCAGGGCCTCCTGATGGACCCCTGGTGGCTCGGAGAGGCGCTATGGACCTATTCGGGGCCGTTCGGCGCTTCTTTTCGCCTCCCTGGGTGCCGCATTAGGGCCTCCCGGGGCCCTCCGGGGCTGTCTGGGGTGCCTCTTGGGCTGTCTTGGGGCCGTCTGGGGCCCTCTTGGGCGCCTCTGGGGCCGTCTCGGGGCAGTGGGGGGCCGTCTTTAGCGCCTCTGGGGCCGTCTTGGAGCCGTCTCGGAGCCGTCTTGCTCGTTTTGGGACCGTCGCGGCGCTGTCGTGGCATCCTCTTGGGCTGCCATCGGCGCCTCAAGAGCCATCGCGGGGCAGTGTTGGGGCCGTCCAGGGGGCTTCCAGAGGCGTGTTGGGGTGATCTGGAGGGCCAGCAGGGCCGTGTGGACATCGCAGTGGACGAAAAGCAGTGAACCTGGAAAAAGGCTCGTTTTCCCTTGGAATTTGAAAGATTTTTCATTGATCTGGTTTTTTTGGGGCTCGTCCTGGAGCCGACTTGGAGCGTCTCGGGAGGACTTTTGGGCCGTCTGGTGTATAGCTTGGGCATCTCGGAGCGCTGTGGGACCTAGTCGGAGGCCCTCTTGGGCCGTCTTGGGCGCTCTGTGGCCATCTGGTGCTCTCGGGCCGTCGTGGGGCGACCAGGGGGGCCGGTTACGCTCCGCCAGCCCCCGCCTCTCTCGCACGCACCTGTCCCTGCGTTGTAGTGTAGACGACGTCGGGCTCGAGCCCCAGGCCCTGACACCCGGCGATCAGGGACAACGCCCGCTGCCACTCCCCGACCCTCTCGCAGGCGCTGACCGCGGCGTTGCAGCCCGGAACGTCCAACTCCACCCGCCCCTCCCGCAGCTCCTCGAAAACAGAAAAACAAAAACGGCATAAACATAAACTGTTGGTGGTCCACGCGGATGTGCTGGGTCGGCGCTGAGCCCCCTTTCTGGCGCGTTCCGCTCGCCCGGGGCCGCGCCAGAGGCGCCGCCAGGGGGCCCAGCGCAGACCCACAAGATCCGCGCAGATCTCTAACAAATTATGATTATGCATGTGCTTCGTCTTCTTCTGCCGCTGCTGGCCGCACCAGCCCACTCGACATGGAAGTCTTCCGCGTCTGAGTGCCCTCCCCTTCCTCTTGTCTTCCGCGGCCGCCTCGTCCCTCATTTTCCCCCTCTTGCACGCCGGCCAATTCGCGTATCGGTCGCCCAGGGTCGCCGCTCGCTGGCGCAGCACTTCTGCCTTAGTCTTCTTCGGGGGGAACGACAAGGCAGATGTACCGATGTTACCGATGTTCCCGGGAGGACGGAGGATCAGGCTGAGGAGGGTGGTGGAAGGAGGAGAAGAGCGGAGAGGAGGGAGGAAAGAGCAAGGGAGGGAGGGGGCAGGGAGGGAGAGGACGGGACGGCGGAAAAGAGGGAGGATAAGGAGGGCGAGGAGGAGGAGGAGGAGGAGGAGGAGGAAGGAAGGAGACGAGGAGGAGGAGGGAGTAGGAAGGAGGAAGGAAGGAGGAGGTGGAAGGGAGGAGGAGGAGGAGGAGGAGGAGGAGGAGGAGGAGGAGGAGGCGGAGAGGGGAGGAAGACAGGAGCTAGGTGCGTTCGCGTCATATCTGACATCCTACCCTCCCCCCATATCTGACCATGGCGTAGATGCTCTCTACTCGCACACTCGGATGTCGAGCAGGGGAATGATCCCGAAATGGTACGCGATGCATTGTAGAGCACGGCGTGGCATGGCGTAGAAGAGCTCCGCAAAACTGTAGTCTGTCACAGCATGGCGTGGCGTGGCGCAGTGAATAATTGCAGCACAAAGCTTCGCAACGCAAGGCATGGCATCGCACAGCGGCCTCGAACATATTGGCTTCGCCAAGGGCTATGAAGGGACGCGTGGATATTTTTTCCTTCTCACATTTCATTTTAGTGGTCTCGTGCCGAACAACGACAGATCTTATTGAACTGATCTGCTCAACAAAAAAACAAACGCGCGCAAAATCCACTGCGGATGCCCTCAGAGGAAAACGAACAATGGAACGCTGCATAAGCGGCGCCGGCGCCCCGCCCGCAGTCCAACTGCAGACAAAACCACAAATGATCAGCCCGCCGGAAAGTTCACGAGCATTGCGGCGGGGGCGGTCATACATCGAGCGAGGGCAGCGGAATTATAGCCGTCTGATGGAGCTCAGCCAAGGGCTACAAACATACAACCGCAAACTGGAGGCAAAGAAACAAGAGCAGTGCGAAAGGAGGTCACTGCGAAACCAGACAGATGTCTCCAGGAAGGGGAATGCCTGCCAACGCGCCGCTTGCACTTGTTAGTCATGCTGGCCCGCGGTAAACCCCAGCGGCAACGCCCAGGCGCCAACAATAACACCTAGACGCCCGGTGAAGTCATTGACGCGTTGCTCAAATCCTCGCGAGCCAATCCATGAACAACCACAAGGCGAGTCGCCCTGATCAAGGCCGGGTAATCGGGCAAGCGGCGAAAATAGCGAGCCGCATCCGTATTCGCGGATGATGAGGTGCAGGAAACGGAGCAAAGGTGAGGAGGGCGGAAAATGAAAAGCATAATGAACACGGTGAAAAGAGGGAGCATGGCGATAGGAAGGACTGGAAACGTGCAAGAGCATGAGCAGGTAGGAACACGGAAGAGGAGCTCGGAGGGGGTAGGAAGAAGCACAGGAAGCCTGAGGGAGGCAAAAGGCGCACCAGTGATCCGCGCGGAACGCGCGTGCGCGGCGCGCCCTCACCAGCGAGGGTGTAGGACGAGGCGGGAGGATCAAAGAGCAGGAGGAAGTAGGAGGAAATAGGAGGGGCAAGAACATGCAGAAGAAAGCATTTGCAGACTCGAATCCCAAGCAAGTTGCGCTAAGCATGAAAGCGAAGTGAAGCAACAGGCAGCGCCAGAAAAACATGATGGACCCACGAACCCGGAAAGGGATATAGACATGTGCAGCATGGTCACGTTTTCACGATATCCAACTGGGCGACACCTCACGAAACATCCCACGAGACACACCGCGAAACATCCCAGGAGACACCTCACGAAACAACCCACGAGACACCTCACGAAACATTCCACGAGACACCCCGTGAAACATTCCACGAGACACCCCACGA